GAATACTATGCGTGTATTGTTGCAATATACATCTTTCTGTAATATAGTGTCTCTATATGTGTGTATATTCATTTAGATATTTTTTATCCAATGTACACAAAGAATTGGGAATTATCAGCCCATCTTAAAATACTGATTGATTTGACATTAGGATATTGGGGGGAGTGTATGCTTAAATCTTGATTCCAACATGGAATATATGATGGAACATATTTCAGAGATACAATAGCATGTGCTTATACTTTGATTGAGTCTTATTTAATTAATTTCAAGTATCTTGTCTTTTAAGATACAAATCCGTCTTAAGTAACATCATTAATAATAAATACAATTTATATTATTTTTAAAACAATGGCATACTTTTGAAATTTCCCCCCAAAAGCAGTTTCTGCTAATATCAAGCAAGAGTTGAGGAAGACAAATTTGCAATAAATGTTTAGGATGATTTTTATTTGCTGACCTTCATTCTTCCCTATAATATTCTCAATGCAAAGAAACTCAATTGAATGTATTCATTGCAGAGATCTCCATGTGTGGAGTTAAGCAGTTTGCTTACTTGTAAAGGTATTTTGCTACCACATATATTTCTGTATATAACTGTCTTGTAGATAAACCACCACTGTTAAATGTTTACGTCTCTGTGTTCTGTATTTTGCTCCTGGGTTGTCTTATAATAGCAGTCATGCTGCAAGCAAACTTATGAGAAGGTCACAAAAGGTGATCAAACGAGACCAGGACATTGCAACTGTCATAAATATGAGTCAGTTTCCTAGCATCTGAATTTTGATCAAGTAACCATGCTGTAACAGTTGTAAGCATGAAAAATGGTCCTTAGTCAATTTTTCAGTGCCATTGTAACTTTGAATGGTTGCTCAGTGAGCTGCTGTAAGTTGAAGACTACTTAGACCTGTGGTCCAGCATTTTAGATACACAAATCTTGCATGTTATCAACAACAAGTACAGTTCTGCTATTTAAATTAATACTGAACTGATAAATGTAATTGCCTAGGGAAGTTAAAAACAACAGTCATCTTGTCTTCACATTATGGACAGATGAGCAAAAGAAGAACCATCCATTGTGATACTTTACAGTATGGACTGTTGGTCTGAGCTCTGAGCTTGGCAATTTGGTTACAAAGGTTTCATCACCATTTGAGGAGAGATCATCAGTGCGCATTGAAGTGTGCTTGTCTGTCAGAGCATTAGTCTTTAATTACCTTTTTATGTGATGCAAATTATGTGGATGTTGTTTGGCTACTTTGATTGGCTGGCTGTTGTGCTCTGACAGACGAGCACAATTCAAAGCGCACTGAGGATGTCTCCTTGAATGGTGATGAAATGTTTGCAACCAAATTGCCAAGCTCGGAGCTCAAACCAACAGCCTAACTACCAACCCAAGCTACTTATATTCAAATACATTTCATATTTTACAGTATGTAATGGGCATAATTTGCATTGTGATGTCATGGCACACTTTGTCATCATTTTGACAAAATCTTGGCTTGCTTATGTCTGGACCACATAAAAGTCACAATATTCCAAAATCATCTAACAGTGAATCAAATATTTGTCTTTATCCGCATTAGCCAAATGTATACCAGCATGTAACTTTTCATTTTGGAATGGTCAAAAATCTGCATGTATTTCCAACCTAGCCATTCTCACAGTATGCTAAATAATATTTCATTGATTTGGCTAGAAAAATTCACTGCAAATAAATAGCTAAATCATGTGTCTTATTAATACTCTCTTGAAAGTCCATATTCCTATAATACATTTCAATTTAATAGCCAACGTCCTTAACAGCATATTAAATTGAAATGTTATTTTTTAAATTCTTATATTAAATTTTCTCTTCAGCTAAGCGGCCCTATTGAAAAATGTGTGCACCTTACATATGCTCAAAACAAATTGTAAAAAAAAATACCATTTGAAAATTTTATTGGGAAAATATGAAACATTTTCAAAATCAGCGTCAAGGCTTGAATTTCTCCTGCTGTGAAAGAAAACTTTCCATGTCTCAGCAATAGCTTTCTTGTCTATTAAAAATCAAAGTTCATTAGCGTAAGAAGCATTTGCTCATAGATTCTGGCATTTCACTAAATACTCATGTGTGAAAGGAAAAGAAAACACATTCCTTTGAACATTGAACTTTATTTTTGAGCTCTACAAAGGAAATTGCAAACTAAACAGCAGATTACCAGATGGTCTGATGTATCAACAATAATAAAAATTTCTAAGCTCGATGTTACAAGATATTAGGATATGATTATCTGCTACAATGCCCTAACTCTGAAGTTACTGCTTTAATAAAGAAAGACAGCACTGTTTATAATTACAGTATACAGACTCAGAAAATGATGGGCATGTAATGCATACACCAAAAGCTTTAATTTTCTGCATTAAAGGATGCATTTTACACCATTCCTCATCTGAAAATATAGTTTACAAATATCATCAGTGAAACAATCCCTTCTTGCAGAAATTACAGATCTAAAAACGGAATGAAACAGGATTAGAAAGAATAGGAAAAACGTCGAATAAGAGCCAAGTGGCTTTCAATATCACAATCAGCAACTCAAAGAGGTGGATCTGCCCATAAAAAAAGCTGTTATATTCAATTACTCATGTGGCCTTGGGCACAGTGAGTGGCTGCAGAGAGAAAGGGTCCAGCTTTTACACCTATATATTTGTGTTTACCCAAAGAACAGGACATGGCAAATTGGACATAGTGTAACTGCATCAGTTCTATATATTGAAAACCTAGCACTACTTACAAGTTTTTTCACAGCCTTAAGTTTTAAAACCCTAAATGCTTTTAAATCAGTTATCTGCAGAGTAAAGCATTTCTCTTATTACGGGTAATAATTTCTCAGGATAATTTTTCAATTATCAAAAGATACAAAGGGACTGCCCTCCAGAGTTTAGAAGTAAGATTTTTTAAAAAAAGACTCTTCCCTTATTTGTGTAGCTGCCATTAGTCTCTGTATTCTTTGTCCATACAAGAATATCAAAAACATAATCTTATTTTAAGTATATCTTAATCATTTTAATTTTATAGTTTTTAAAATTTATTGCCAATAACTATACTTGAAAATGTCATTATGTTATTGATTTCTGCTGGTTGGTTTTTAATTCTTCTATATTGTGGTAGTTTTCACAAAAGTGAAATTCTCTGAATAAAAACAAGAAAGTTGTAATCTCATACACTGATCATGTGACAAATTAGAGAAGTTTGATCAGAGGACTACCAGTGAAGAGTGAATCCAAGCAGTATTAATGAGGACTTTCATCCATTTGAGAAACAAAGACAACTTCAAAGCATTATCAAAAGAGAAAAACTCCCTGGAAGCCTCACCCCAAACCATATAAATGATTTGTTCTGACAATCATGTGTTGAATAGCAATAGCACTTAGCAATGGCACTTAGACTTATATACTGCTTCACAGTGCTTTACAGCCCTCTCTAAGCGGTTTACAGAGTCACCATGTTGCTCCCAAACAATCTGGGTCCTCATTTTACTCACCTCAGAAGGATGGAAGGCTGAGTCAACCTTGAGCCTGGTGAGATTTGAACTGCCAAATTGCAGGTAGACGGGGGTCAGCAGAAGTAGCCTGCAGTATTGCACTCTAGCCATTACGCCACCAAGACTCATAAATCACAGTCATTGGTAGCTTTATCTTCACCAGAACCAAGATGATTTCTTAAGATGGTCTCAAGTTATCTGAATAAATCACCTTGAATCATTCCAAAAAGAAGAAACTCATTAAAGACTGTTGCTGCAGTCAAATCTGCCAAAATATATAGAATGTACCAAAAGTCAGACTCCATAAGCCAATAGATGATGTAAAGGACACCTTCACATTAGAATTCACATTAGAGGAAATGTAACTGTGTATTCATAGGTCATGAGTATCAGGCAGTATTTAGAACAAAATGGCAGCCAATTTGAACGTTTAATGTGATGTATTTAATAAATAAATCATGTTATACGGGACTATGGGACTAGCCCTCGTTCCAAGATGTTACAAATAAATATATGTGAAATTGAACACTGTTTTATAGTGCTTAAAAACAAGTGATTTAGTGTAATTACTAAGGGGAGCATTAGGCAAGTTTCTCTGCATACTTACCATGACCCATTCAATATAATGCGGGTCAAAGTAGGTTCCTCCTTTAATTTCCCAAGTATTAAGGTGGATGGATGTTTGGTTTTGTAATTTCATTGCTGGTACTGAACAACGTGTTCAAAACCTTAAATTTGCTTTGGTTAAGTAGGTAAATTAACTTACTCAACATAAAATTGGATAAAAAACAACTTAGTGGATAGAATTAGTGTCTCCTTTGTACAGGACAGAACAATCCATTTGTAGAAATGGTCCATAGTTTTTTGGTTTTGGTAAGGAGAAGGAAGGTGACAGTGACCAGTTTGATGACACAGTGGGGACAGGAGTAGCATCCTCTTTTTATCTCCTATTAAGGTGGATGATGGCCTGATTTTATAGTCTGTGGGTGTTAAAGTTTAAATTAAAATATAGGAATTTCAGGGATTCTTTGAACAATGTTTGGGGTTTCCTGTGTCAGAATGGTAGGAAAAGCCCATTACAGATTTTTAGGACTTGCACTATCAATATGTGGTAGTCTGTTTGGAAGTGGTTCCAGGGACTGCAAAAAAAAAAAAAGGAATTCAGGGCTGGAATTGCCTAATCCTGCTCAAAACCAAGTCTGTACAAGCAACCCTTATAATAATCAAGTGCATAGACAAATGCATCGCAATGCTGAGGTGGGAGTAGGGGAGAGATAAAGTACAAAACGTGCTGTGGGCCATGTTCATTATACCTTTGTTTAAACATTGACTCACAGCTAAAAGAGACAGAAGCCACCGTGTGAAGTAGCAGTAGGAAATTAGACTCTGAAGAGAGTGAAATGGTGTAATTTGCTATTGTTTGCATGCCCCAATTCATCCTCTTGCTGTTTTGTGCTTTTATCCCCTTTGCAGACCTTGTGATGAGCAACATCCAGAAGTCAAAGCTGACCTTTATGTGAACAATCTGGCAGAAGCTGTTGATATAATTCTCAAGTATTTTCATAAATAAAAATGCTGCAGGGGTCCACTTAAGGCAGATGTTAATGTAAGACCTTCGGTGTAGCTGCACATTTCTAGCAATGTTCAAACCTTCCTCCATTGTTTATGGACTAATTGGGAAGCAACTTACTAGTTTAATTTGCCATTGTATCCAGCTAAAGTGATATATTAACCACAATAAAAATAAAAACAAAGTTCAATGCATCCCTGTTAGTCTGCTCTAGGAATCATTTGAATCTTGTTTGTCTGATTTGGGGGGAAGGGGGGCTACTGCAACACATCACTGAATAAACCTCTGTGCCATGCATCACTCAACATGGGAACTGCTTTTTCTCTTGGCCATTTTTTATTATTGTCTTATTTCTTGCAAAAAAAAAAAGATCCTACAGAAAGCACTCACTGTAGATCATGATTCTAAAGAGTTTTGTGCAGAATTGCCTCAGAGGGCACAAGTAAGATCACGTCTTTGGATAATTTTTCTTTTTTATTGTCTCCACCCATTCAGTAGGAAGAAAGGAAGGCTCATGCTAAGCAATAAAGACAGATGTTTATACAACAGTTGGAATGTTGATTAGCATCCACACTACAGCCCAAATATTTCTTCCTCCTTCCTCTGGGCCGGGATGGATCTTCCAAGTTTGCATTAGAAGCTGGTTTTCCAGTGTTCTGAGGGTGGCATCCTCTAGCATCAAAACAATGCTTTCCCCACTCCCAGTCCCTGAAGCAATTTTGCTTTCTTTTAATCTGTTTTAACAAGAAGATGAATGAGTTACATAAACATAATGCAGAACATGTAGATGGTTTTAAGATGCATCCAAGCCTTCCTGAAATATTAAAGGAGAAACAGAAGATCCCCAACCAGCGTTTGAATCTCTGGTAGGCATACATCTGTTACTTTAGTTTCAAAGCTGGATTGAAAGATTCACATACAATTGGTGCTATATTTATGTTTATATATTACATTTCTCCTTTGAAACTTGAAAATTCTTACAGGTAGTCCTCAATTTACAACCGTTCATTTAATTCAAAGTTACAACAGCACTGAAAAAAATGACTTACGACTGTTTTTTTCTAGTAATCTGGCCTGTTCCTTGGTAGTTTCAAGAAATACTCGACCTTCAATTATTGTGATCTCCTGATGAAACCCAAATTGAGTAAAAGCTCATCAGTGTGATATTTTGTGTACGGGTAACCCCCAGGTTACGAGCGTTCCCTTAGTGAATGTTCAAAGTTACGTGATAAGTGCCCCCTAGTGTTTATGAACAAATCCCTAAACTACGAATCTTGCAGCATCATGGCAGTCATGACAAACAACTGCAGAGGCTCTGCAACATTCGTCCTGTGCTTTACCAGCCAAAACAGACTGTTGAAGGGGTAGGCCTGTACCTCCAACACTCTGTTTTGGCCTACACAGGCCTCACTCAGCACTTTGCTGGCCCAAATGGAGCTTTGGAGGGGTGGCTGGCTTAGGTGAGGTGGCTGAGCAAGGCCTGCACACATCAAAACAGAGCTGCAGAAGGTGCACAGCTGAGAGGCTGAAGAGGGAACAGCTTGCTAGATCTTTGCATGGTAAGTGAGCTGGCGCAGCAGGTTGGGGGGAAGCAATTGTGGGGAGCCTGAAGTATTTCAGTGGGTTGAGAAGGCTTTGGGTAGCCTTAAACAGGTGGCTTGTTCCATCACTAGCCCCCCCCCGGCCTTTCCCATACCTCTTGTGCACTTAACAAACCATGCATTCAATTAGTGAATGCATGGGCAAAAGGAGGGAGTGATCTCGTTCAAGGTACAAGATTCATTCCCATGAATCCTCAGGTTATGAATGGAATGGGCAGGATCCATTGCGTTCGTAACTTCAGGACTACCTATATATGCCATTCTGTGGATGTGAGGAGTTCTGTGACCTCCATCTTGAGAAATACGTACCTGTCTGTTCATTTTCATATCTTGCAAGTAACCTCGGCTCCCACAGTTGGGCTGTTTTTGTTTAATCACATTGTTTTACTCATGTTTTTTTTTTCTTTAAGTAGGCTTGCATATAGAGAGCACCTTTCTGTTGGTCAGTTGCCAGGCTGAAAGAGCTGGTGTTGAGTTTGTGTTTAAGGCATTGGTACTGCACAAAGTCAGCTTGAAATACAGAATAAAGAATAAAATAGTTTGAGAATTCTTGCATTGAATTAAAAGAATTTTAATTGTATCCCCCCCCCCCTCTGAGGGCACTTCTTAGCATTGAGCAATTTAAGACTGAAAATAAAAGTGACTTGGAATATTTGTAAGGACACATTACATAACTTCACACAACGCACAAGTGTGTTTTCAGGAAGAACATTCAGATACAGATTAGGATTGGAACACCCATCTTTCCCAATCAGTTTAATTCTAGGAATTGCAATTCCGATATATGATGTTGAAGTGGGCTTAAATTATGAATGTTTAACTGTGGATTTTTACTGTATGCCTCCCAGAGCACTGTGTGATAGTTGGGCGGCTATAGAAAGTTGTGCATAGACACACTAATAAATTAGCATCTCAAGAAAAGAGAAAAGAAACACTAGTTGTACTGATATGACTGGTGTCATTCTTATTGGAACTTATCGGAAATGGCCAGATGGTATTCAGTGGGGTTTAAATCAAATAATTGAACTCATGCACTGTATTTGTAATCACACTCACACTTTAGATGTCTATACCCAGCGTACTACCTGTAGAAACTGCAACCAATTTCTGCAGGTAGTTCTCGACTTATGACAGCAATTGAGCTCAAAATTTATGTTGCGAAGTGAAAAATGTATTAGTAAGTTTTGCCGATTTTACAATTTTTCTTGCCACATTTGTTAAGTGAATCAGTGCAGTTGTTAAATTAGTAATACAGTTGTTAAGTGAATCTGGCTTCCCCATTGATGTTGCTTGTCAGGTTACAAAAGGTCAGAAGGTCACAAAAGAGGAATCACATGACCCCTGGACACTGCAACCGCACATATGAGCCATTTGTCAAGCATCCAAATATAAATTACGTGGACATGAGGATGCCGCAATGGTCCTATGTCTGGAAAATGGTCATAAGTCACTTTTTTCAGTGCCGTTGTAACTGGTCACTAAATGTTGTAAGTTGAGGACGACCTATATGTGAGAACACCTGTACAGTTGCATCCTAAAAGTGATGTCATTTTGTTTGGTTTTCAGACATAGATTGTCTTAAGATATTTTCCCTTCATGGGAGAAAAAGAATTTCTTGTCTCAGGATCAATGCACAAAGGCATATCCAGCTACTTAAAGCCACCTCTCCTTCAGATCAGATCCTTCACAATAATAAAAAAAAAACCCTCAACACCCTCTAATTACATGAGCTGTTCTGTCAAATTTAATTATAACCTGGCTGCGAATCATACCCAATATACAATTGACTTCTTATCAAAGTGGCATTCAAGATCCCAGACTTCATGATGACGTGTTTTTTGCTCTTTCTTTGCTGGGTATGGATTGACATTTCCATTTATAATATTCCATAAAGGAAGGAATTAAGACATTAAAGAATGTTAATTACTTGGAATTGCAGTTACTGGCTTCCAGATTCTTCATCAAAAGTATCTTTGCATATTTAGAAATAATGGAGTTGACTTGCAATGGTTGGGGGGGTCATGTTGAAGAAGATGGGGCAGAGCAGAGAAACTGTACTTTTAATACAGTTCTCTCTATATATATTGTTTAAGTTAACAAAATGTGTAAGTCTCTGATGAAATGGGTGGCTGGAGAATGCTGGAAGTTGAAGTCCACAGGTCTTAAAGTTGCTAAAGTTGGACAACCCTGCTCTAAATCTTTGCAAAATTGTTCAGCTTGGGCTACCAATACCAAGCTATTACAACCAGATCCCTTTCCTGCATAAATATATTCTTGTTTGGACCTGTTATCATAGAAACATTTTTGATTTAGTTGCATAACAGTATTTAGAGAAGGTTTACATAGAATTCAAAATTCTCCAGAGTCATAAAAATTGGAAAAAAAGTAGACATGATCAGCATTGGTGATATGCTATACTTCAATTATAGATACGACTAGACGTTTGCCAAATTGGAAGAGAAAGTATTAGCTATACATGTGTTACTATAAATGATATAAAAACACTTCCACACAGGAATTAACATAACATTTATCTGTGACCAAGCTGAATCTTAGCTTTAACAGATCTGATGACTACCACATCTATTCATATATGTCTGTGTGCTATTGTAAAGGACATTTTTTATTTTGAATATTACATTGTATAAAGCAAATGGATTCATTGATAGTTGATGCTGAAACAATTTGGAAATATTCAGTATTCCTTTTAGTGCACAATGTTAACATGAAAAAAAGAATCTAATTAGTCATTATCAAATCCTTTTTGGCAGCTGTTTACTCAGCGTGAGAGGTCACACTAACATCTGCATATTTTCATTTATATATTCCTTAAATTGTTTGCTTATAGGCATTTTCACGATTCATGGCTTCTTAAATATCCTGTTTAATCTTTTATTTTGCCAAAAATATTTTCATTCTGCATTTTTTCCTCCAAAACACACCTTTTCCCATGAAATAACATTAGCTCGGTGGGAGAAAAATATTTTTACAACAAATTTTTAAAGGCATATGTGTGTTGTTGGGTGGCAATAGATTTCCTGACTCAAAACAGAGCTTGAGAGTTTTGAGCTAGGACTTGAGCTGGGGAATCAATCGAATAAAAGGTCCTCATAATGTTAGGATCAAAGCACATCACCATTTTGTGCTGGCTTTGTTGACACACACAACTGGCTTGGAAAATATTGTGGCTAGAGATACACATTGTAAGCAATAATATTTTCTAGTGGCAACTAGAGGTATTGGGTGCTGCAATACACTAAATGAAATAATGGATTTGTTGGTAGGATGGAAATACTGTGATCCCACCAAAATTTCTTCTGGAGCCCATCCTGTCAGATTTCTGAGGAATTAGGAGAACCTTCTTGTTCTATTCTCTTGATAAAGGGACCACCATGATTAAGTGGACTGACAAATAAAATAAGCAAAGTTGGCCTTAGAGAAAATCCTTCTGAAAAGCTTGATGGACAAGTTATATTAATTGAAAGCCCATAGTGAATTCAGAGGTTACCACTGCTTGCTTTATGAACACTTTTGGCTTACATTTTTGAGCCCAGAAACATAATCTGTGTGTCATTATTAATTTTCATTGGTCCTTGGCTCAAATTTTACTTTTGTTACTGTATATGTATGGCCAGCTATGCTGGCTGGAGAATTCTGGAAGTTGAAGTCCACAATCTTAAAGTTGCCTAGTTTGGGGATACCTGTGCTAGTAGAAGAAAATTCATCAGCAGTGTTAACTAGGAAATGTGCATCTGAACCAAGATGGTGTACATGTACTTCGTTTAGAATATGTATAAACACTTGGGAAAGTTTTCTTTCAAAAAGTGTGGAAGACAACTATTCGTCTCCCTGTTAATCAGCCACTGATAGTCTGAACTTCTGAATCCTGTAGAGCAGTGGCCCCCAACCTTTTTTGTGCCACGGCCCGGTACCAGCATCACAAAATGATCCGCAGCCCGGTACCGGCATCAGCACACATGACAAGGCAAGGCGAGCCGAGCGACCGGCCAGCCAGCCGTCCCCCACTTCTCCCCGCCACCTTCAACTCCTCCTTTGTACCTTTGTCGATGGGTTTTGCTTCGGGACGGCTTCGGGACGGTCACTTGGCTCACCTTGCCTTGGGTGCTGAAAGAATCCTCGCACCTTAGTTTCGTTCAAAGCCCCCCCCTTCGATGAAACTAAGGCGTGAGGATTCCTTCAGGACCCAAACGCTGCTTTCCAACTGGAAAAGCTCACCCAGAAGTACTTTCTCGTCAAACAAGATGGTGGCATCCAGCAAACCGGCAGCCCGGTAGGAAATGTTCCATGGACCGGTACCGGTCCGCGGCCCAGTGGTTGGGGACCCCTGCTGTAGAGAACTCTAGTGGAATTCTATCTGAGGCACTGAGAGTCGGGCGCACCTTCACAGAATGTGTTTCCGCTGCTGGAAAAAGAGTGAGCGCACCTTCCAGGACTTCTGTTACAAGGGTGGCAAGAGAGAAAGAGAGACTCGTGGTGGGTTGGAGCCATTTTCAGGGGGAAAGGGAATGAGCTGCGATTTCCCACAGGCACTTTGTTAGACTGCTGTGAGAATGCCATCGTAATTTCAAATGGATTTACTGTTGTAAATCGAGGACTACCTGTATAATTTTATGGAGGACTGGCTGGAAATCTCCTTGTGCTTTGAGCTAACATGACCCAATTTTAAGAATAGGCTAAATAATGAATATATCCAGAATACAGATACAGATCTACAACTGAAGAGGCACAATGAAAGCGTTCCCACTTTTTCAGCAGCTGAATATATTTAACAGTCGCACAACGCAAGGAAAAAAATAGTGCTGAGTAGCAGTTACAGAATCAGAAAGCTTTATTTACACAGAGTAACAAGTAAATTCCTGAGACTGCAGCTGCTCTATAGTGCAATAAAGTCATTTGAGAGAGTACAAATCAGCAGTTTTCTTAATTTTTCCATGTCAGGGAACAGTCTTCACCAACATTAGATTTTGAACAAACACCAACTACAGAGCTGACTTTGTATATATGTCAATATGTTTGCATCTGTGCAATTACCATGAACAAAAAGACATACATACATGTGTCTGTGTACATCCACACACCCACGCACACCCTTGGAACTAAACATTGCTAGACTTCAAGGATTCTCAAAGGCTTTTTGGCCATCGTGTTCTGATTCATTGGTTCTTAGACACTGAAAATATAATGCTGAAAAAGACTACTATAATTCTAAAAATATTCTCTAGTCCTGTTTCAAGGAGGAGTATCTAAAATGTATTTGTAATACAATTATTACTGGGCCAAAGAAATTATGCTACTTGTGAAAAGTTACAGTAAAATCCAGAAATACGTTCTATTTCATCTTATTTTTTTCTTCAGTATGTAATTAAATACATACTAAATATTTATTCAGTTCTAAATAGCAATGACTGTAGATCTACAATACATTCCCTATAAGAACATTCATCAGTGCTAATAGGACAAAACCCTTCCATAAAAGTTGCAATTAAAAACTTTTTTTAAAGGGAAAATTATTGACATTTATTGCTGTTGTCATTACATTTCAATAGTACAGATTGATCTGTGTGCCAACTAAGCTGTTGTCCGTCTGTCTCCCTGCTGATTTGAATGTACTGCTTAGCAAATAAAAGTATTATTTGCAATGGTAGTGAATGTTCACAAAAAAACTCAATATACCTGATCAAAACCTGCTATAGGAACTAGTTCCAGCAAACTAACTAATCCGGCAGGAGCACAGGATCCCCAGTGGAGGAATCCAATGGATTTTTTTTCAGTGGATATGACCAAGCATAGATGCAGCTGAACATCTTTTTTTTTTCTTTTCAGAACAGCACCCCTGTATGTTACCATCAAAAGTATTTTCCGTAAACATACACTTATATTTCAGATGCTTATATTTTGTGTGAATGTACATACATGCACATACGTCTCATCTATATATACAGCCATACATACATCCTTACATCCCATAACATTTTGCTTCTATTTAAAAGAGAAAAGAAAAAAAAGTAAGGCTTTAAAAACTCAGTTTCAATACATAAATCATACAACAACACCAAACCCAATGCAATCCTGGGATTAATTTTAGGTAAACACTCTATTGTTAAGTATGCAGATGTGTTCACTGTAAGGCCATTTGATAGTGAAGCATCATTGCTAAGGCAAAGAAAGTTTGCAACTATATAAACTAAGCTACAGTTAGGCGAGTTGGGTAGTGATCCTCTGGGGGGCACTTTCCTACTCTGTGTACTTAGCTTCTCATAGGTTGCAGCCCTTTTAGTTTTTTAGAAAGCCCTTATGCATAAAAACCCTAAATAAGAAAAGACTGCCTCTACCACATGAAAGACAAAGCAAACTGTCATTAATCAAGATGTATGTTAAGTAAAAGCTGATACACTATCTCAAAAAGCATAAGGTTAATGGCATAAGATGTACTCTCCGTTGGCAAGCCCACATAAAAATGCTATGATTAGGAAGCATTACTTCCAAGTGAAAATGTGATAGCAAAGAACATGCTATTTTTGTGCACAGCACACGGGCAACCATTTCTCTGAGGATAGGTCATGTTTAATAAAATAATAATTTCTATGCAATCCAAGTTGGTGGGGAGAATTTTGACAGAACCATGCAATAAAACAGAAAATAAATCCAGTGGGTTGGATCCAGATGAAATGAAATGAAGATATCATTTACTGAAATTAATGAGTCTTAAGTAACTTACCCCACAACCCTACACTCACATTTACTCAGAAGTAAGTCACACCAAACTCAGTTACTTTGGTGTAAATATATATACAATCATGATATGGTCTGATCCAAAATTTGCAATTAATTTAACAATACCACAGAAAAATGCTATGTGTTATATTTGCACAGAGTACTTCTTTTTCAAAGAAAAAAACAGCTATGCAGATAAAAAATATGGATCAATATGCCATATCTGAAATAATAGCCTAAACAATCCATTTGAGTGCCTATTCCAATATGCCATATAGGAATTTTCAAACACTGCTCAAAAGATCTCTGACAGTACACATGTAGCCTGAATAACAAATCTATTATTCAAAATTTGCATTGAGTAAGCTCTTTTGGCCATAGCCACCTGATTGGTTGTCCGGATGTTATACAACCAAAACCTGTATTTAATAACATGGTATGCATACTTGCACATTACTCTACAGACTCTGTTTATATCAATAAAGATATTAAAGATTATTCATTTGCCATTTAATTTTTGCCCATAGTGACCTCCAGGTGATAAACAACAGGCTTAGTTTGTCAGCATAAATGTATTTAATTATTGCAGAAAGGTTACCTCTCTAGTAAGAGCTTGGGTATCACTTGAACAAAGACAAATTTTATAGCACCACATGACTCTGGTGCTGTCCTCAGTAAAAGAGGTAAACAACTTGTATGGTCAAAAATGAATTTGCATGCCTCACACATATTTTATTATTTCTTATTTATCACAAAATACTGTATTATCCAACCTCTCTGCCATTCATTTCACCTATTCTTCCTCCAGGTCTTCCACATAAGAAGAAATGCTAAAGAAGAAAATGTGATTCCTTGGAGTGGTGTTGTGAAGGACAGCAGCAATAGCTTTGTATTCAGGCTACAGAAGTTCCTGTCTCTAAAGCAGAACACCAACTATCTTAATATTTTTGTAGCGGAGCAAAATTCAGGGAAAGGAAAAAGAAAATATCATTTTCAGAGCAAGCATCTACCTCCAGTGTGCCTTATAAGCTTTTTTTTTTTTGATCAGGAAGGATTAATTTTAGCAGTCACACTACCTATGGAGCTGGTCTGAAAATTGAAAATTTTGCCTTGGGGAAAAAATTGTATTCTTAACTTTCAGAAGATCAATAACAATTAAAAGCTGGGCTTTGGCTTACAGTCAGCTAGAACAACCACTGTTTTATCTTTACACCAAAAACTGGTGGAAAGACTGGAATATGGTTTTTGTGAAAAAATCCAAACCTAGAGGAATTACAGAATGTTGGTATAAGTACAGTTTTTAGGAGCTCAGCGCCCATGATTAATCCAGACACATTTACATTAGTGCAATGTACCTGGAGCAGTGGAATTGATACTATTGTCAAGATAAAGAGATTTTCTCAGAGCTCCTAACATTCAGTGTTCATAACAACATTGCTACATAATTACAGCCACTACCATTACCTGGTAAAATTTATAGGGTCAAAAGCAGTAAGAGAGGAAGAAAACTTCCAGATCTGTCATATTCCTGATAACCCACAGTGAGATGTAAAATTAATTAATTCAGCTCAAATTGTAAAAACAAAACAAAACCTAATTCCAAGTCAAATCAATGAAAACCTGCCTCTTATAACATTTCTATGTTTCTGAAAGCAAGTAATGTATGTTAACTTGGGTTGCAATTAGCAGATTTCGCAAGCATGAAAACAGACCACCAAGTTATTCCATGGTATAAAAACGTAAATAGAATTTCAGCCTAATACTATTTTTATTTTCACTTGTGTATCTGTATGCGCATACACACATACACATATGCCCTATGTGTCACATAAGCTTCCTACAGAAAATAATAAAAATGAACATGTGAGGAAATAAAGTTTACTGTGAAAGTTCAAATGAGCAATTGTGAAGCTTTAGCTTAGATGAGATTTTCCGTGATTTTAGATGCCATACGCATTAATGTCATTATGGGAAAAGTTAAAAATAGGATATCATTTTTAAGAAATAATTTCTTGTTGTTTTTCTTTTCATAAAGAAAGGAATAGATTTCATTCATCAATGAATAACTTGGCTTTGTTATTATGTGCTAAATTATCATTGTTGGTTGCCCAACATAAGGAGTTAAGGGGTGAAAGGGAAAATATTGGAGTGTCAAGTAAGTATTAGAATCTCAAACAGCATTTTGTATTAGTTGTGTTATACCAAAACCCCAAACCTCTGCCATCCACATAACTTAAACTAAGCCTGCTGTGAATTCAGGGAATTATAATCACAATGTATTAGAGGACACTCAAGTGAGAAGGCTATTTTAAAATATGTATTGAACATCATGGTGGTTAAACACATGTTCCAGCAATATAATGGAAAGTCAAGCAGAGCACTGAATAGATGCGGTTTAAAACTCTTCTCATTACCTATTGTGATCCATCTATCCCTGTTTACATAACTATGTGATCAAGTTTCCTTAGAATGAAACATAAAATGCAAGAACCACTCAATTCACTAGGAAAATTGAATTCCATTCTTCTACATAATAAATCATGCACCATTATTTCATAATCTGCAAACTATGATTTGTGTTTGCCAACCAAATGACAATTGTAAGTGACAGGCTGATAATGGATTATAATCTTATTTTAGAGGAGGAATGCAAATGCTATTTTTGGCAGTTTAGATTTGCATGCTTTGACAATGAAGGACTGTTTGCCCATTACTAAAGCGTGGCTTGGTATTACAATTGAACAAAATCTCCTGTTACTTTAGATATCTTGACAATCAAGTCAACTGCACCAAGTTTAGACGAGTGCACTTCTGTCACATTTGTGTGAACATTCACTTATCATGGCTATGTGATCCTGGGTTTTATGCTGAGCACAAAGTGTTAGCCTCCTGAATATCATGACTTATTCTGCAAAAGACACACACATATACACACACATACCTGTGCACATTCATTTGTTTCTAGAAATAAACTTGATATACTTTGAAAAAAACAGAATTTGAAGCTGTGGCTGAGCAGAATTTCCAGTGTTTAGAAGACAGAACCCTGGTTCTGCTTGATTATTTGCCCCATATTTTGAAGAAGTACGCTAAAACGATTAATGAATTTGGGGATACTATATGTAATACAATTTAATATGTTGCAGACCTGAAAGCTGAGAATGAGAACAGCAAAATCAGTGTGGGCATAAAATGAAAGAGTGAGAAAATCTGTACATACCACAACAGGAAATGAGTGGTGACATCTTTCTCAAAAGACTTAATGTAACTATCGTAAGCCAGGCCGTATAAACTGCTTCTGCAGTGATACACTAAACCATAATAAAAGCAAGGCAAACCAAGCCCAAAATAACACAGAGCTAGTCCTTCAGACAAGGATTTCTCAACCTCAGCAGTATGGACTGCAATCCCAGGATACTGGATGGGAAAGTCTGGGACAGAGGTCTCTAAACGTGGCAACTTTAAGACTTCTGGACTTCAACTCCCAGAATTGTCCAGCCAGCATGGCTGGCTGAGGAATTCTGGGAGATGAAGTACATACAACTTAAAGTTGCTAAGTTTGGAGACTCCTGGTCTGGGAGGTAAAGTCCACACTTCTTAAAGTTACTGAGGTTGAGAAACATTGGTCAAGTCTTTTTGGGATTATTAAAAAGAAAGGGGAATATAAGGAAACTAGAGGAAGTATCTTTTAGAAACTACAGCTAGGCTTCCCAGTGCTCATATACAGCAGTGCCTTATGTCGCATAACTCAATGGAAATGCTGAATAATGCACTCAGATCTTTTTTTTGACAATAATAATATCCTTTCCAAGATTTGGTTGCCTGTATTTTGCACTAGGTTTACTTTCTTCTACAGCAAATTAAGGAAACAGGGAAGTGGGTTTCTGTTGGGTGTGTTTCCTTTTTCTCTTAGTTATATTCATCCTTATCTCCCTTGGTAGCAGTGGCAGAAAGTGTCCCATGTAATCAGACACAGGTCACTCAACAGTGCCATGTGTGCTCACTATTGGACTACTGTTGTTCACTGAAGCTAGAAGTAACACATTACTGTATACGCTATATTATTTTCATCTTTTCATGTGATGAAAATACCTAAATACTGAGTAATGCCTGAAAAACAAGATTTATCTTTAATTGCTTTCTACTGATGAATGTGATAGGCTATATACCAAGGATGACAAATGGTACAAACCCCAAGTTTAAGAGACTTCATGCCAGATAAGAGCCATGATCCCTTTTCAGATGCCAACTACTAAATCTCAAGAATCATTTTTGTTCACAGGTTATAGTATCACTAATTTAATTTCATTATTCCTTGAAATTTAACTAAAATATCATGAGTGCAAAAATATTCTCAATATTTCACTTCTACAGACAAAGCCTCTGGCCTCTTCTTACGGATAAATTGATAGCAACCATGAACTAGAGGTCATGTATCAAAATGTGCATCCAACCCATTAAATCTGGTCCAGGTGAAGATGAGTAAGAGCACATTGAAAATGATACCTGTATGTTTGATTTGGATAAGGAGGCCTTTTAATAAGCACAGATCTCTTTTACTAATATGGATAAAAATCCATTGTGCTTTCCTTTCATAATGTTATTGGTATGTTTATGCCTGTCTCTCTGTGTGTGCGTGTGTTTAATAGACGATAACAAACTACTGTGATTCTGGGAATTAGGATTCTACATATATTATGAGAAATTTGATTTGTGAGATTTTATAAGATCTATGGATAGGTGATCTAAAAACAACAACAGAAAATGAATTCAAATACTAATACTAATCTCCACTTTTTGCTCCTTTGATAAGGACAGCCGAGGTGCAATTTATATCAGCCAACAGCAAAAAAAGAAAAGAAAAGAAAAAGCTTATTTATCTTACCAAATGCCATTCCCATCAGAAGATGGACCTACTGACTCTCTAGACAGCGAATTAACCTACTTTGAAAAAAAATGACCCGGAGTTTTTGGCCTTTCCTTTCAAGTTTTGATATATCCACAGAGCTTTCTTTTTCTTTTAAATATGTTGATGTTAACATTGGAAGTTTTTCCTATGAAAAGCTACAGTAGTTCTAATAAGTTCCCCCCAAAAAGCTAACCAAATTTTGGCAATGCTTTTTGTTCTGGTTCACCTGCCAAAGAGAAGGGAAATGTGGATTTTTCTCCTCTGGTTTGCATTAACCTGTGTGAGTTTGCCACTGCTAAAAGCCTTGGTGCAGGCAAATCCTTTCCCCTTAGTGCTCTCAATTGTTTTCTATTTGCTCAATATCTAATTCACCACCCAACTGAAAGATGTTATCCCCACCAGTCCCGCTGTTCCTCCATGAGGAGTGTTCAACTTCTCTCCTACTATTCTCATCTTCTGCAGCACAGAAATCTGAATCTTCGTAGGAGAAATCTTCTTCCTGGTTAGGATGATGTTCTTCTGAATTTGAATGAGGCTCTGGAACAGGGGTGCAGGCTGGTGTCCTGCCAGGCATGACGTCCACGTTGGTGGCCCATGAGTTATTGCTGCTGGTGCCAAGGGAGAACTGGTTCTGCTGAGGGCAGTCATCGACTGTGGTGCTAAGACTGTTAAAGGTTTGACAATTCTGCAAAAAGATAAAAGAAAATAATCAACTTGAATGTGCAGCAATCAATACACAAACTCGAGTCTTTCCTTCTCAGGAGTCTATTATTTCCTCTATTGCATCATTATCTTATCATTTTAGGATGACTTTCAAAGCTTAAATAAGATTTTTATTCACTGCCATGAAGAAATGTATACAACACAGCCCTATCCCAAGAATATGAACAGTTAGAGATGTTAATTACATTTTACTGAAATTTTACCAGACCTGATTAAAACTGATTGTGTATATTCCTTGAGGTAGTTCAATAAAATGTTTTCACTGAAGTCTAGAATTAGGCTTTATACTAGCAAAAAGCCTAATTCTAGACTTCAATGAAAACATTTTATTGCATGATTCTTAGATTACCATCTTTAGGTCATACCCATTTCCAAACACAAACTAGATCTGAACTTCAGAGGAGGAAGAACATGATCAAGTTGCTTGTTCTGCCTTCCTGTCCACCTCCAGAAATATTCAAGAACTTAAAACAGAGACCAGACAGGGGCTGACATGAAATATTTTAGATCCAAAAGACCGGAGATTTTCTCTTCTGTTTGCAAAGAGGTAGATAATTATTTTTAAAACATGGATTAAAATAAAACCATAAGTCAGCACTCCTTTCTTACTTCCCTTTGCTTTTCCTTTTTGGACCTGGAAAGGAGCCAATAATTTAGCTCAATTTATAAGGAAGGCCTAGAACTAGGGGTGGGATTCAGCCATTTCAGGCCAGTTCGGGTAAAACGGATGTTAAATTTACATCTAATTCGCCAAACGAGTAATTGAACTGATTGGCTGGCCCCACCCACCCAGGAATCTCTATGCAGCCCATTTTGGATGCAGGTAAGTTCAGGGTCCGCACAGAGGTTTGGGGAGGGCAAAAAATGGCCCTCCCAGAAGTTCTGGAAGGAGATACCCATCATGGCCATGCCCACCCAGCAACCGGGCAGAGAACTGGTTTGGGGATTTTTTAATCCCATCCCTGCCTAGAACAACTCATTAGAAACTATCCAGAGTTATGGATTAAATTCATGCATTGAGAAGACAACAGGGTCACAGATTTCTACTTTCTGAGTCACTGTCAATCTGATTCAAAAAAAAAAGAGGGGGGGGGGCTTGCCCTGTTTATAGATATACTAATCAGAAAGACCCACATTTGCAACCTTCCTTCCCCATCCTTGAAAGCCACAAACCAAGTTTGCCTATACTGAAAGGTTTCCTAGAGTTTGGGGGAAAGGATGACATTATGACTTAGTTGCAGATGTAAGCTTATTAGCAGACGAAGCATTTGTTAATCATGAGGTCCCAGCCTCTGACACAGTACTTCGGTTTCCAGTTACCTGGTAACTACTAAAAAACATTCCGTTTTCAAACAGTGCTGCAAATGAAGTGGTTTAGCTCTCCAAATGGTACTTTTCACTCCTCTCTGTTCAGAAGGAATTGTGTCAACACCTGTTCTCTTGTGTGCCAGGATTAAAGGTGTATACTAACTCGCATTGAAAGGGATCTTTTCAGTTTTTCAATTGCAGAACAAGTGTTCTGTTGATTAACCCATCATTGGAGGAGCACTCTTTGCAAGGCACCTTTCCTTCGTCTCCGTCTTTTAATAAATAAAATTCTTATTGAACAGGAGCACCACACACCTTTCTCAAACATTCATCATTTGTGGGACAGAGAGAACGAACTAACTAATTGGTTAGCCTGAACCATTGCATAATTGCTGTGACTAGATGAGAGGGAAAGGGCAATTCTGCTGGAGCTTTTTGAAATCAAACACAGCACTGCCTTAAACTGCAATCGACCAGCTTGCCAGTTTTATCCCGAGAAGCCTGAGGTGATGTTCCAAAGTTCATAGAGACCAAAGATAATATCCCGCTGAATTCTGCACCCGTTTGCAAAATTCAAGTGACAAGCAGATGATTTGCCCATTCCTGGGGTGCTAAGCTCAAGGCCAGTTCCCAGACACAAGTTCGAACAGCTTGTGGTTTTATTGTAATTATCAAATATTCGGAAAGGGCAGGGCAGGTTTACTGATTTTTTGAGTAGGCACTGAGTAAACGTGAAGCTATGGGAACATATCTTCTGCACAAAAAAAAAAAACATCTCCCAAAAGGAGAGATACCAAGTCAGGTAGCAAACAGTAGTTCCCATTGTAATTCTATTGTTTCAAGGTCATGCAACCTCTGAAAAAAAGTGCTCTGGGAACAGCGTGTGCAGCTGCTACCCACCTCAATCTCCCTTTGAAAAGCTGTCTTGCTAAATAACTTTCCTGCACTGATGTGAACCACCATCTAGCTCTTCTTCCTCCATCTATTGTTCTGCACTATAAAAAGTTGGTTGGAAATCTAGCAACTAGATGGAGCAAACTGGGTTCCTGGTTGCACAGAGTGGGAGCCTGGCTTCCCTTTTAATGAATTTACAGCTGAAATAAAATACTGCCTTTAAATGAAGACATAATGACATGGCGGACAAGATGTGTCTCCGCTTGTGAAAAGGGAATGGAAATGCGGAGTGGACTGATCAGAAACCCAAACTGATGCATATTTTACTAGACCCTGGGTGACTCGGTCAACAAGGATTCCTGCTTCCAAACTGATTAACAACTGCAGTGATACCTGTTTTCCACCTTATCACAACAATGTGTTTCAGAGACAAGAGAGATCAGGAGTGGAACATTTTGAATTCTGATTCTCAAAAAAAAAAAAAAACATTCTGAGCTTTAAGATCTTTAGTTCAGCATGCTTGTCTTTTGCACTTGTTAAATCTTCTAGAATTTATTTTAAAAAATAAAATTATTTCCCCAAAATCTGAAATTTTCCCCTTTCTTGAAATAAAGAATCAACAATAATGTTACAAGGGATTAGAAAAAAAGATGAAGCTATATTCCAGCAGAGAGAAGGCGAGAAGTTGTTGTATACTGATTTAAGATATGGGGATAATAAACATGCGGTCTTTGATGTATCATACTGTATGCTTCTTCAGTATAACAAGAAGCAGAAAATAGAGTTTGTTTTCTTATGCAGAAAGAACAACCCAATGCAGGAGAATTTATCTATGCCAAAGCTATTCAACTCCGCAGCATCTAGATGAGGTAGGTGCAAAACCTGACCAGGCACTTGGTTGCACTTATTGAAATCATAATGCAAGATGCTTTGAATGCTTCTCTCAAATCCACAGAATATGTACTTGTTGAGATTCCTTAACATTGGGTTTTATCATTGGGTAGGCACCCTAAAATAGCTCGTTCTATTTCAAGAAATGAAAAAATCTAGATACAGGTAGTCCTTGACTTACGACCACAATTGATCCCAACATTTCTGTTCTGTCTCACCTGTGACCACGAGGTGAGAGTCCAAATTTCCAAAAGAATATAAATAAACAGACAGGACCCAGAACGACAGAGTTAAATTCCTTTGGCTGGTGAAGTCCTTGGCAGTCTTCCAAAGCTGCCTGACAAGTCCGATAACAAGACAAGACTATAAATCAAAGGCAAACGCTGCACAGAGAATTTCTCCAAGCTTCTATTCCAAATAAACAAATTGTCCCGAACGAGGATTCAGACCTAACACGCCCTCTTTTATTACCTGAGGGGCGTGTCAGTCTCTCAAGTCAGTCCCTGATTTGACATTTCCTTTTACGTTGTATTTCACGCTTCTGCCTGCGTCTTTGCCTTGCATCAAACCAGCATTCCTCGGCTTGATCCTCAGCCAAGGACTCCGGCACTCTCTCCTGATTATCTGCCGATACCTGAGGCACAACCAGGGAGGAAGGTCCTGGGGAGGAAGATGATTCCGAATCTTCTAGCAAAGCAGGCTCAAACCTCAGAGCCAAATCCTCCTCTTCCTCCTGACTCACGTCTGTGTCTCCCAGCAAAGCAGGCTCAAACCTCAAGGCCAAATCCTCCTCTTCCTTGTTACTCGAGCCTGTGTCTTCTAACAGAGCAGGCTCAAACCTCCGAGTCACAACACATTTCTATTGCTAAGCGAGACAGTTAAGTGAGTTTTGACCCATTTTATGACCTTTCCTGCCACAATTGTTAAGTGGATCACTCCAGTTGTTAAGTTAGTAACCTGGTTGTTAAGTGAATCTGGCTTCCTTGTTGTCTTTGTTTGTCAGAAGGTCGCAAAAGGGGATCACATGATCCTGGGATACTGCAACCATCATTAATATGAGTCAGTTTTCAAGCAACAGAATTTTGATCATGTGGGACCATGGGGATGCTGCAATGGTCATAAGTGTGAAATCACTTTTTCAGTGCTGTTGTAAGTTTGAACAGTCACTGAACCAACTGTAAATTGACGACTACTTGGATTAGATTTTTAGAAGAATCATGAAGTGACCTGGTTGGATCCCTATGGCTGTTATATGTGCTTAACTGAGCTAGAAATCACCATACAAGCCACCCAGAGCTGCTTGGTTGAATTGAGCAGATATAGAAGTTGAATGAATGAACAAACAAACAAAAAAATTTTTGAGAAAAATCTGTGCGATACCAAGATACCAAATGATCAATGTTAAAATGTTTCCATAGATTTTTAATCAAACTAATTGACTTGAGAACTGGTGTTTTTGTGAATAACTACCAAAAGCTTTGCCCTTATATAATCTTATGGAGAAAAGCAACGGAAACAGATGAAAAATCAAAGGTAGCAGCATTTTTAGAGCAAGAGCAGAGATCAGCATGGCTCAGATAAAAGAGAAGAGCTATGAAGATAAGGTGTGATCTTTAATATGTGCACTGCAAGGAAAGAAAACCAAACAGGTAACTCTAGTTTTGTTTATTTTTAGTTATGAGTAGCAAGCTTTACCCTCATTTGCGTTAATGCAAGTCCATATCCATAATTTGCTTATTTTCTGATCGATGAAAAAGCTCCCAGTGAGGTGATGCAAAACACAATACAAGTAATAAAGACACCTAACAACCAACATTTTAAAAGAATTTATATAAATATATTGCTATCGGCATATAAAAGAGTACAAAG